CAAATAAGGAATGGGCGATAGTAGATAATGTTCCACTATCGATAGAATCGATAGTTCAGTAAGTTGCCGACAAAGACTTATTGAGAATTTATTTTCGCTGCATTCTGTAGTTATTTACTTTAAGCTTTATAATAATTAACATTTATACTGGGAACATTCCTTAAGATTTATGTTAAGACACTGATAAAAATTATTAAATATATAATTTTAAAAAATATAATGGGAATATACATTTATATAGAAAAATTAATTGCATTTATTTTCTTGATTGTTGAATTCAAACAATAAACATAGATGGCATACTATTGTTTTAACTATTTGATCAAAAAGGATGCAAGAAATGTGTATGTCTTCAAATTTCCAAGATTCAAATTTTCTAAATTTAATTGTTAATTAAATTAATTTTAGAAAATTTTACTTTAATACCGCGTGGTTTGAAATATAATAACACTATAATAGCATACTTGTAGATTTTATAGATATAGTTTTTTTATGAAATAAAAATAGGTTATGTAAATGTTACATATTTTTTTGCCATCGGTACTGGATGTGTAATAATATTTCTAAAAAAGTAATTTGAGATTGAATTTTTCTTCCTCTCCTCCGTCCACTTCCTCCTGGACGGAAGTTCCTTACTGTCCACCACATGCACCGCACATTTCTGGAATTTCTTGTATTCTGTCCTATCCTCACATAATTCCCGTGTTATCCCAAACCTCTGTATTTCCTGTTTTATTTGTACCGCATGTCCATGGTTAAACTTGTATCCCATAACACTACTGAATATCTTCTTGTTTAACCTCTCCTCGGTTATCCTTTGCATGTCTATAAAACCTAAGTCTTCTTACCCTCATTTCCGTTTCACTGTAAATCTCCTTATTGGATTTTAATCTGTATCCTTCTGGTGTTATTCTGGGCCACTAATAATATAATGTTTATTGAATAATGGCATTTCCTTTATTCAATAAACATTATATTTCCATTATCAAACATTTAACTTTTACATTGATATATTATCAATATATCTAGTACATTGATAAATGGGTAGAAGTATGAAGGTATGTTATTAAATTAATCATTTAAGTAAATAAAATTTTACAATAATTTATGTATAAGGGATGATACAAATTATCGATATATCGACTAACGCCTACGATAAACTTAACAGTTGTTATTTACGTTATGTTGGAACGAAAAACACTTTTTTGGCGGACAACATTCATATATAACTGTTATATATTTATATCTCGAGGTTCTGCGCGAGATACCAGAAACCTGAAAATAAGTTTTCTATTCAAAATAGTTAAATTTTACATTGATTTTTTTTTAATTTATTTAGATAATTTTTGGAACTAAAATTGGTTTCAATATTTAGAAATAGATCCTTTATTACTATGACAACAATGGAAGTTTACATGCTCTTAAATTGATACTTCGATTTTAGGAAATAAAAAAAATGGCTTTTTTAACTAAAATTTGGAATTTTAATCTCGACTTGAATTAATCTATTATATTTAATGTTTTACTTTTATTTTGTTTAAACCCAGTTTTATAAAAAGAATATATATATATATATATATATAAAACTATTTTCTAGTCATATCATTTAAGTTTGGTGCCATTATTATTATTTTTTTTTTTATAAAATATTAGGCCATAGGTCACCAAATGTACACAGTTTTCACATCGTTATTTATTCGACGTTTCGGCTTCACGAGCCATTTTATTGGCCATTGTTATAACAACTGAATTAAAATTAGTTTGCAGCATCTTGGAAATAGCTCGTTAAGCGACACGTCTAATAAATAATACATGATGTGAAAACGGTGTACATTTGGTGACCTATGGCCTAATATTTATAAAAAAAGAAAATATAAAATTGCATTTAAAAAATTGAGTAATAACAATAACGAACATGCCAAAGTTTTGAGTGTTTCAGCTTTAAAGTGTTTTACTTTAAGACTAGGTATGTAAGGTATGAATGTAAATGTACTAAAAATAAAATTTCGTCAAGAACAATCACGAAATCCCCATAATTTTAGAGCAAGCAATACAAAATTAATAATTAGTGTCATATAAACAATTTAAACATTACAAAATATTTGTTTATTCAATCAGTTTTACTGATGCCTCTGTCACAAGCTTAACAAGTTTTTCCACCGCTTGAGCGTGGCTATGAAATAATATGAATAATGAAATTATTATGGGAGCTGAAATTAGAGATACACTCGTTTTTAGATATTTTCAGAAAACTTTATAGAATTTAAAATGTACTGAAAGTGAGCGAACCAAATGTTTCTAAAGATTTCCATCAAGAAATAAGAGGAAGGAAAGGTGAAGATAGTAGTGATGAAGACAGTGAGAAAAGAAGTTTTGAATTTTTAATTTACCACCTTGCTTTCATTAGAAATGATTTTTCTAAAAGGTTAATAAACTTTATATATATATATATATATATATATATATATATATATACTGATTTTATTATAAATAAAAAGTGAAATAAATAAATATATATTATGACGATTCTATACACTTCATATTCTTTTTTTATCAAGCTGGAAAAAATCCATTTTCCCATTTATCTGCTACGGAAATTTTATTTACTATATCAACATGTGTTCCCCATTCAATAATTTAAATTTAGACGAATCACTACAACAATTATAATTCATTAGATTTTTGCCACTCTCCTGTCTTTTCAACAACATTACATGTCACGTATTTATTTTTCTACAGGGTGTTTCGTAATTTCACGGCACTATTTTAGGTATGTGTTCACCAACACAAAATAAACAGAAAAGTTCATATTAACATATATCTCAAACTCATTTACTAAACAGATATCAAAGATTAAAGATTTATTATTATTATTATAAAGTGGCACTTTCGCTTTACCGATTTAATGAGAATGCTGTTATCTCCCGTGTTATACACTGTTACATACGTAATTTCAGATTTTTTTTTCGACTTTTTGTTTTTGAGATAGACTGTTCACACTTGTATATACACACTCACCATTTTGAGGTATTTGGTTATTATAGACTCAACATACCTCAAAACTTATTTTTTCCATAAAAATTCGGATTGTATGTTTTTCAAGATCGCAATAATATTTGCATGATATGCATTTGATGTGTAGAAGATTTTTGAAATGTGGTTGTCACTATTTTGTTTATAAAATCAACTGCTTTAGTCACAAATAAAAACACTAGTAATAATAATATAGTAGTTCATTCACATCATGTGTACAACAAATAAAAATAAATATATATAGATAGTCTTATACATTAATTCTCAAATATATATACCTTTTTCGGCGCTCAGGAGCGATGGATTTTGACGAATGTGGTATCAATAGAAAGGGAATATCACTTAGAGTGCGCTAATCGTAATTTTGATTCCCAATTTTATACCAAGACTTAAATAAAAGTGAAAGGTCAACGAATCGGAACATTACAAATTAATTCATAATTATCAAATAATTCAAAAAAGTATCCAAGCTTACTAAATTCGCTACAAAACGTTAAAAAAATGATCGGAATCGGTTGATTTGGTTCTGAGTTATAGCATTTGAGAATTTAAGGTTTTGGAATTTACTCTTTTTCAATGCATAATTTATTAATTATTCTTTTAATATGAAAACAGTTTATTCTTTTTTGTATAATTCAATTCTTAATTTTATTTTTATTTATATTAATGTGAGCTATGGGGCTCCACTAAACTATCGAATTCCTCTTGTATCCAATCCTTACAATCCAAAATCCTTCGTAAAATCCTCAATGCTCCTTACTTTGTCACTAATAAAATTATCCATAAAGATCTTAATGTTTCTTATGTTTCAGATCTGGCCCAATCCAGATACATATCCTTCCATAATAAACTTCAGAATCATCCCAACCCTCTCGTTTCTAACCTTGCTTCCTCTTCAATTTCTGATAACCCTCCGAGGCGTCTGAAAAGAAGATGGCCCCGTGATCTCCTAATGTAGTCATATCATTAGAGTGCTACCATTGGGTAGTTACTCAGCAAGTGTATTCATGTCATTATATCAATTATGTCCAAATTTACTTGATGTATTTATGTAATACAGTTGTAAATGTCATAAAGAAATAAAAAAAAAATTTATATTAATGTGTTTCCTTAAAATACTTCTTGGAATGTTTGTGCTTCAATGTTCTCAATTACTTCAGCTTTTTTTTTTAGATATATATTACTGAAGTTTTATAACTAATGCTTATAATACACTTTCGTTTTTTTTTTCTTTTTTTAATGATAAAATAATATTCATCGTAATCGCACTATTTCTTCTTAAGAATTTGAGCCTTTTGTCGTTTTCTATCATCATATGTTACAGCGATGTTTAGAAGCTTTATTTAATTTATGAAATCTATTGAAGAATAAAATTAATATTTAAATTATAAGTTAAACCATGAAAGATTGTAATTTGATATTTATAACTGATGCCTTACTAAATATAAGTATTAAATCTTTGCGTATCAGAGGTTATCGAATGAGAGGTGTGCTGAGCCCTTAATGTATTAAAATCAGACCCAAATATACCATGGTCCAAACTCATATTTTAAACTTGAAGATGTGAAAATTATTATTTGTTCAGTCTAATAATGAAACCGATATACTTATTTGTTTGCGGTTTAGCATACCGTATAGGCCAGTAGCGCACATGGAAAATTAAAGAACCATTCTAAGCTTCAATAAGAGTTTGTCGTTTGGTATTCATGCTTTTAAGAGCGATTGCATGGCCCGAAGATAATGTGTATTTATGTTGGTGCGTGTTCTATAAGGTTTTCCTGCTTTTATTTTATATATCTTATCACTTCTTCACATCCCGACCCCTTAAAGCTGGTGATATTACGCTTATGGTGAAAGAAAGTGGTCCATCGAAGGAATGTGACGGCTGAGAGGAACTTGCATGGTTTATTAGATCGATATTTAGTGACCGGACTTAATGGTGATCCAGATGGCCGTGACGTGAGGACATGCAGACCGGAAGGGACTACAAGCACCCATGGTGCGTCATGTACGACCTCATCGAGAGCGAAGCCGCATCCGGAGAGCTTCTTCTTCCGGTGAGTCCGGAGCAGCCGCGCCCGAGAGTGAACTTTCCGCCGGAAATGGAGTCGAGGCGGGCTTCGAGGACTTTTAACTTCGGGGCCAGGTGTCGCTCTCTTTCGGCCTGGTCGGACATCAGCAGGTCCAGTTGTCGTCTGGACGAGAGGTAAGCAATAAACTATTTATTTAAATCTAAAACTCATTACTGCTAAGGTAAATGGTTTTAACCTATCATGCGAAAATTATACAAGATGTTTTAGATTTAAGTGGTCAAACTGCAAAAATAAACTAAGGACTTCAAAACAAGAAAAAAATGTCCTCTGAAAGAATGTCAGCAAACACTTTGCTTAGGAGATATTCACACCTAAAGATTTTCGTTGTTATGAATTATTAGAAATATCTACAATAAATTGTAATTGCTATTGAAAATAAGAAATGGTTTAAATTTATTTACAATACAATAGAATAGAACACAATTTTATTCTGGGACGAAGTCCCTTTAGAATAACAAAAAAGTATAAAATTATTATTACAAAAGTATTATATCTGGCCTAAATAAAAACAAACATAAAAAGGAAAAATAAAGAGAAAAAATTAAACAAAATATTAGTTAAACATACTATGTACAAAATACATAAATCTATATAAAAACACTTGAAACCATACCAAGACACTTAAAACTATGTACAGTGGCAAAACATAAGTATACACTTTAAAAAAAATAAAATAAAAATACATTACATTCTTCTTAGTAATAAACTCTGTGTTTCTGCAGAAAAATAAATAAATAAAAAGAAGAGGAAACTGATATTAAGTATTTAAGTGATGAGTTATATCGAAATATATCATTATGTGAATCATTTTGAATAATATGTAAATTTACAAAAAAGGTTAGCTCAAGGAAATCACTTTTAACATGATTTTAATGTTTACGTTTAATTAATAATGTATTTGGAACAAATCTTTATTTACTTAATATAACGTATATATTATTCATAAAAACGAAAATCTTTAGGTGGTAATATCTCCTAAACAAAGCTTTTGCAGACATAGTTCAGAGGAAATATTTTTGGCCACTTAACCCTGTATACAGGGTGTCCCGTAAGTAGATGGGAATATTTAAAAGGTTGATAGTCGAAATCAAGATCTACAAAATAGTTCATATAATCAATTGCCCAATTTCTAACAAAAAAAAGTAGGAAATTAAAGATTTGTGTTATTTTAAGTAAGTCGTGTTTTTTGTTGAATAAGAAGCGATAATTAAAAAAAAAAATTATTTAAGTAATTAAAAATTGCTCCAAAGTAAACTAGACAAAATTGAATTTAAACTAAAGTAGAATTTAGCATTGCTTGAACTATTTAAAGAGGACTATTACAGCTAAGTTCCGTTTAAAAAAAGGAATAAATAAACATTGCGATCGTGTAAATTTTCGTATCTGAGCTTTTAACAGCCAAAACTGTTGACCAAAAACAGTACTTCCCTACAAGCACTTAACCAGGATTTCAGCTTTGATGGAAAAGTTTCTTTTTTAGATAAATTGGAAAGCCAGGAGGAGAAACAATTTTATCAATCTAAATCTAACCTTTGTTTTTCACTGTTTAATCTATTTTTTAAAAATAATATAAGTAAAACAGATATAAACCGAGTAGTTGCAATTAATATAACGTATTATTTTGTATATATTTTGACAGAAGTGATTTTTAAGTTTCGAAGGAACATTTAACTTACCAAAAGGGAAATTAAAAAAAAATATATTGTGGAAACGCTGTACTTGATCTAAGACCTTTCACGGGTTGTAATGATACGGGTTTATCTACTATACAATACTACACGTTTGATCTTAAACTTATTGCTAATTCCATCGGTGGAATTCATCAATTGATTGAAACCTGTATCGTTGGAGAGCGATTTATGCTGAATTTAGCAACGATCGGATGAATCCTAGTGGAAAGTTAACCTTCCTGCAAGGTTAAAAAACACTTAAAACATTAAATAAAATAATAAGGAAATATTTATCCACTGAATAGTTAAATTTCAAAACATATATAAATATAGATAGAAAATAAACTGAATAGAAATATTGAGTATATTAATTATAAATTATATTGAGAAATAAATTTATCGATCCATCGATGACTTAGAGAACTGCCTGATAGATTTGCAATGCTCATCAAGTTCAGCGCAGAGTTCAGAAACTTGACCTATGTTAACAGGTTAAATTTTCATACCAGCCAGACTCATTTTTTATTTTTTTATTTTTTTACTTAACATTTATTAAAATCGTATTTAAGTAATTTTGGAAAAAAAAAAACTCGGGATAACTTAGTGCCTAAAGCGAATTAAAAAAAAAATCGACATTTTCTTTCACTGCTTTTGGATTTATACACATCTAATAGATTATATATTATATCTATATAAACTATTTTGAAGTATAAAAGATTCATAAATGAAATATAGAATATTGTTAAGTTAAAATAGGCTGATTTAATATTAGCTGTTGAAGTCTAGTGTCTTTATTTGATATTAAAAAAGTGAAAGTAAATTGCAGCGTTGCCATTTAGGGTATTGGCAATACTGCCATCTAATCCCTTGAGTTTTATTACACTTTCCACAACTAATATCTCTTCACCCTGAATATTTAGATATTTATTACTTTCTTGATTTTTATTTCTATCGATGAAACATTATTTAAATAATAAAATTTAATTAAGAATTAATTACATTAAACCAGACTAGAAAAAAAACAATTACATATTTTTTTTTAAATTATCAGAAAGAAATTATATAAGCTAAATGATCATTAACATACAAAAAACTTTTGGGGGTAAAGTTTCTTTCCCTACTAAAAAAATTTCTTTGATAAATAAAATTTAAAAAAAAATGATCATGTTTTAGTATTACGAAAAATAAATAAATGCAATTGGACTCATAGTGTCTATCTGACAATATTATTTTGTATATCTTCTGTTCATTTTTCTTATTTTTGGTGTCTTGAAGTTTTTTTATTTGTTACAATAGATTAGGCCATTTTTTACCAACATTTTATTATTACGCATCAATTTAACGTTTCGAACATACTAAGGGTCATTTTCAAAACTTGATGAGTCCTCCGTTATATGTTCATCATTAATGTTGTAATTAATATGTTCAGTGAACATTAACTTGTCAATTTATATAGGGGCTTCGCCCACGTCATTTCTGTTGTGTTATTTTGTACTTATTAACACCGCTATTTAAAAAATAAAAAACTTAATTTCTAATGACTCGCAAAGATAAAAAAAAAATATATATTCAGCTTGAGTCTAATTTATGAGCTAAAGACAATTCTCTACAGTGTAATTTTATTATTTATGTCAGATGGCGACATTATAAGAAAGATGACAATACAAATTGAAAAACATTACATTGTGATTGTAAAACATTTTTTAAAATAGAAATTCAACTCCGAAATGTAAATGTAAATCTATATGGTATGGAAGATCTTATTATGCTACCTACAAAATAAAAAAAGAAGTACGTTAATCTAGCTTGTGAAGTATTGAATTCCTATGCTCAAGGCCTGGGTTGAAGCATACCTAGCCACTTTATTAAATTATTAATTCAGAACTAACTAATCTGGTGGTTGAGTATCGGCCCAGTTAAAGTACATTTAATTTTTTTTATTTGAAATAATTAACCATTTCACATTAAAATCTGATTTAAATATAAAAGAATTTTATAATTAATGAAAACATAAATAATAGATCGCAACGGAGAATAGTTGTAATTGACGGAACAAAGAAATACGAGCTCTTCCGAACTAACCCTAAAGATTAGAATAGGCTTTAATCCATAATATGAGCTTAATATAATAAGGACTCCGACAATACTATATACATATACATATGTGGTTTTAGTAAATGCTATCATTGGTATTATTTAATATTAAACTGTATAGATTACAGCAACATAATAATTAAAATTAGTATATACCGGTATTTAAACAAATAAAAATACCCATAATGAAATATAAGTAAATATTTTTATTATTAGCCTTATTTATCATTGGCACTGGATTAAAACATTTAGTGACACTTAATTATTGATTATAATCAAAAAATAATTCACCAAACCAGATTTTTTACTTTCACTTACATATTATATACGTGAAAATTTTTAAATCTGAGTTTTCAACGGAAATACACGTTTTGAGGTCTTCTGATTTGAAATTACCTAGTCCTACAAAATGGTCTGAGTGTTTCTGTGTATTTAGGTCGAAAATGAATCTCTGGAAATAATAGTCAAAAGAGATACATATAATCTATCGTTGGAAACTGGATATTTTAGAAAAAAAACAATATCTAATAAATATAGTAGTAGAAAATAACGGATCGTGACGAAAAAAGATATAATAATATCTGAAAACTAATCATTGAAACGGAAACTACATGTTTCCAAAGAAATTAAATGGAATTTTCGAACTAGAATTATTTCTGTAAAATTTCAAAATTATTTTTAAGTTTTAAAAAAAGTATAAAATCTTCCGAATCAAGGAAATGATATTGTTTAAAGAACTAATTCATTGTACTTGTTTGAAAGAAGAAGAAGTGAAATATTTTAATATTACATTAATATTTATTAATGTAAAACATATGCTCATAACCTTAAATACATTTACTGTAGTTTAGTGATTATAGATCTGATATTATATTTAAATAATTAGGCACCAACGTTTATTCCGAAAAATTGTCCTGTAACTTTTTAGGAAATTAAATTAGTGAATAATTTGATGAATTTTCCCTTTGTGAAATCCCAACATTATCTTGTCTTCCTCCAAAGTACCTTTAATTTTATTTATTATAAATAATAACTATTCATCATAATAATAACTCTAGTTCCGATATTATATTTAAATAATTAGATATATATAGATTTATTCCAAATAAAAATTCCCTTTCTGAAATCACATTATTATATACTTAAAATTAGTGTGACGACTTTCGACCTATCTATGAAATATTTAAAAACAAGTAACTGTATTTTGGTAAATTTTCCAGTGGTAAAAAAAAAAAAAAGAATTAATACAAAATAAAATACAATAAAGAATAAATAAAATAAAATGTATATAAAAAGTGATAGAGCATTGCCTTATTTATTTAGAATTAAATAGATGGAAATTCAAATCTCCCT